CTCAAATTAGACTAGACTTTTAATCTCTTCATTAGTATCAGTAAAAGTTAATTTATAAATAAACATAATGATGATTATGAAACCTGTATATTCTCTTCTCTATCTACCAGTACAGTAGTCACCAGCCCAGGGTTTCTCAGGTTTGGCACTACTGACATTTTGGGCAAGATAATTCTTTGGTTGGGGGGATGCAGGGGGAATGGATGCTATCTGTATGAAGTTTAGCAGCATCCCTTCTATCCAGTAGATGCCAGTAGTATCTCCCTAGGAGTGACAACCAAAAACTACTCCAGAGATTGCCAAATGTCCCCTGGGGGAAAATCACCATGAGTTGAAAACCACTGCACTAACCATATGTGGTTATTTACATGTAAATTAATTAAAATTAAAGAGAATTTGAAATTCAGTTCTTCAGTCACTATCCATGTCTCAAGCACTCAGTTCCACATGTGACTAGTGGCTACCACAGGAGACAGTGCAGATATATAACATTTTCACCATTCCAGAAAGTTCTACTGGATAGCACCAGTCTATAGCACAGGCTCTACACAGTGAACTGGAAACAAACTCTGGAACCAAAAAATGTATTTCCCAGCAAAATTCAGGATTTTTCTTTTCTAAAAATAAATTTCTCTACTTAGAACTAGTGTTCTAATATAATTTCTTTTATGGACAGTGCTTCATGTTTTAACTCCCAAATCATTTGAAAGTCGTATATGAGAAAATCAAAACACTTTCTATTTAAGAAACATAGAATTACTTAAACTTCCTAGTTTTTTATTAAAAGCTAAAGATATATACAGTATTCTTAAATATTTTCAAATAGAGGTTTTAAATTACAGCAGTAAAAACTAGGTTAGCAAACAAAACATTTACAATAATAAATATTTGATAAACACACAAAGCATTTATTTCAGCACCCTAATAAAATGTTATAACAGAAAGACACAACCTAGGCCAGCAGAAGCACTTTAACTAAGTTTTGGAGGCACATACCACAGTCTGTACCTTCTCTCAGCCACCTCTTCCTTCCCCTTTTTCTCTTTTACTCTCTTATTCTCTCCACTTGGACATTCTAGGCATTTATTTTGACAATGACACTCAAAGGCTTTAGTTAACCCCACTGGTGGAACTCAGAACAAAAAAAGGCTGTTAATCCTGTTTAAGTAATCATTAAAATATAAAAGAGCACAAGTACTTATTAACGTGGCAAGACCATGTTAAGTGGGAAGTGTAGTTATCAATTCTTATATAGCGTCAACTAAAATACCCACCGTTAATATGAAAATATCATGCCCTAAAAGCGAAGTCAACTTTCAAAACAGAGAATAGTACTAAAAGCTACCATTCATTGGTACCACAGTAAACATCTTACATACACTATCTCATTTAATACTAAAAGCTTTATGAGGTGGGTATTACCTTCTCTATTTTATAAATGAGTAAACTGAGACTGGACCAAGTAACTTGCCCAAGGCCTCCACAGCTGGTGATGGAGCTGGAATCTGAACCCACACTCTGAACCAGTTAGTAAAAACCTTGAGAGTACCAAATTGTCAGCTGGCAGACTTGATCATACATACTGACTAGGACAAATCACAGAATTATGTATCTCAGAGTAGAAAGAGTCCCTGATAATGGCCAAGTAGTTTTTACTTTATGTTTTTAGCTCTGACAAATTCTAGCTAAGATGTCCAGGACAAGATAATTCCCAACGTAACAATACAAACTTATTTACGGCTATTTGCCATTACGTACAAAAAAATGATAATATTATACAGAATTTGTATTTTCTGATATGAAGCATCAACAAGCAACATTTCAGTGACAGAAGGAACTACAATCCTCAGACAATAAAAAGAATGGCATCAAAATTTACAATTGTCTCATTTATGAAGATAAAATTAGATATTAAGTTGTTAAAACATAAAGAAATTCACTTAGAATCTGACAAATTCATAAAGGATGACCATTTCTCAGCTCAACAGAGTCTCCCAAACTTTTGCAACTCCCTACAGTATTCATTTATTCAATAAATTTTTAAGTGCCTACCATATCTAACTGTAGTAGGCAACCACGAATTAGATCCTGCTCCAGAGCACAATAATACAGATTCTCAATAACACCCTTAAGTCTTGGTAGTGCTATCTCCTTTGAATCATTTGATCCGTATATTACAAACACATACCCAAAGTACATTTGGAACTAAATTTCAGTAAACAAAAAATATGACGAAAATCTAAAAGTACATGAAAGGCAGCAATGCGGCATGAGAAAATAATACGGGCTTTAAAGTCAGACTTTCAGTTTGCATCCTAACTCTGCAACCTGCTAGCTATGGAAATTGGGAAACTTAACTTGTCTGAGTCCGTTCATCAATAAAATGGCAATGCTGCCACGTCTCTTATGGCACTCTTAAATTTCCAGCTTAGGCGCTAGCATGAGACTTTCAATAAATGTTTATTCTTTTTCACACAGAACACTGAAAAGTTCACCATAAGAAAAGAGATTTTCAGAGTTAGGACCGCTAGATTTTATCTACTCCAATTCTCAACTTTTACATTGAGGCCGCACCACAAGAGTGACCTGCCCAAGATGACACAACTAGTTTAGCAGTTGGGTCAAGACTCATTGTCCAGTGCTCTTTCGCACTATATAACCTGACTCTAAGATTTTAAAAGCCGAATAATTATACAAACAACATGATTCACATCACTATGCATTTGTATTATGTCAACTTAAAAAAATTAAACTGAGCATTAAATGATATTTAAGGAAATGCTAACATTCTTATAAATTCATGCTTTAAAACAGCCAAATATTTTATCTAAAGTGTTTCAGAAAGATTTTCAAGTAAAAACTGGAACTTCAAATAGATTCTATCTCAAAATAATCAAAATAAAAATTAGCGATCTTTTAATTGCAACATGATCAGCTCTTACAAATTGTTTTACTGAGTACAATTACATTCAGACAGTCCTTAAAAGGAAGCCATGCATTAAAACCACCTTCCTAGCTCCCAAAATAGTGTCCCGGCTCTTGGGCTGTATATTTTACTTGGTTTTCTAAATATACTCAACTTCCAAAAGAAAGTAAAACTACTTTACTAGTAAAACAGGTACCAGTGGAGTGTACTGGGGGGACAGAGTGCAGAGAAAGGAGGTGTTTCCCTTTTAAAACAGTCCTTTGCAAAGTACCATATGGACTATGCAGGAAATCACAATCAGACGGCTCTGAAAGTACTCGAGAGTAAGAGAATGCTGTTTTACCTTTTAAGTCTGTTATTCAAAAGGTTCTAAGGGCAGACCCGCACAGGAGCACTATCTCCCAGTCTAACTTTACAGGACATCCTTAGTATAAAAGACTCATTCAAAATTTTACAAATTTCACGAAAGTTCAAAAATGGTTTTCTTGATGAGTCGTACAATCCTTATAAACACCTAAAAATTACGATAAATGAGAAGGGTGTGTGATGGTTTTCCTTTGGTCTGATGCATCCCTACATGTAAGTCCTAAAAGAGCAAGAGAGCTGATGGTCCGGTCCAGTGGTAACCCCAAGCCTGTAAGTTGGCTCTGCTTTGCCAACCTGGAGACCAAACACTCCGTGATCATCTTAGCTCAACAGTACTAACAAGAGAGCACTAGGAGCTCTGGGATGAAGGTAAAGTGAAGAGTCGACCATATGATTCTCATGATCAAAACCCTATATGATCAAAAGGAAGTAACCCGAATAATCTATGCCCACCATTCCCAAATACACCAAAACCCCTTCCCCTATACACACAGCTCCCACAAACCCCTGCTCTGGCTCCACATTCCTGTACCTAACATGCTTCCCCGCCACAACTCCCCTTCCTCAGGGGACCCACGGTCACCGTCGCGGACCATCCCTGCCCCGACCCTAACTTCTCACCCCACTCTCCCTCACCCCCGGAGACCCAGCGTCTCCGGCTGGTCTTCCGACTCCACATCCTCCCACACACGCACCCTCCCCTCTTCCTCGCCCTCGCTTCCCTCCCGCCTCCCCGAACGCTTTCCCCACCTCCCCTCTCTCCCCTCCACACCCCCAAACCCCTTCGCCCCGCCACGGCGGGCTCCCCGCCTCCAGCCCCGAGGCCCAGCCCGGGCATGGGGGGCAGGCGCCCCCTCTCCCGCCCCTCATGTCGGCCCCGGGCCGGGGCACGTTCAGCGGAGCCTGTGGGAGAGGGGTCTGAGGAGGACGACGCCGGACCCGCGGTCCGTCTCCTGCTCGCCGCCCCCGGAGCGCTGGGGTGCGGAGTCGCCTCTCGGGTTCCCCAGGGAGTAGGAGTCCAGGCGGTGCCCCCCGGCCCCGCTTCCTCCGGATCGTTGGAGCGGAGGGGAAGGAGGTTCCTCGGGACTCACCTCGAGCCTGTTGTCAACATTAGCCCCGGGTTTCCCAGCACCAACTCCAGCGCTCGGGCTCTCCCCTCCCCTCCCCCCACCGACTCGCAGCCGAGGGCCCGCCTTCCCTCAGCTCCCCCTCCTCCCTCCGCCCGCCGGCCCGCCCGCCCGCCACTCACCAGCGCGGCCGGGCAGCGAGTGGGGGCGGGGCGGAGGGAGGTGGAAAGGAAGAAGCTGTCCGCGCGATTGCCAGATCGAGAACAGTCCGGGTCGCCCGCCCCCTGGCATATCGATGCCCCGAGCTTAGCTCTGGGGTAGCGGTCGCTAGAGAAGGTTCAGGTAGGCGCCATACACTTAGTGGCTGGTTCAAATTGCTCAGTCGATGAGAGGAGAGAATTTTTCAGACAGGCAAATAGTAGGGCAGCCACAACCAGCCCCTCAAGCCAGGGCCCCAGCAGAGAGGAGGAGTGTTCCGAGGACCGAAGGCAGGAAGTGGATTGGTCGCCAGGAAAGGGAAAGCGCCTGAATTGGAGATGCGCAGGCGCAGGCGCTTCGGAGGCGGGCGGGCGGGGGGGGGGCGGGGGCCGAGGGGGAAAGCGAGAATGGGGCGGGGCGGAGCTAACAGGAGGTAGGGAAGGGCGGTGGAACAGTAGGAGAATTACGGAGCGCCATTAAGGACAAGTTTGGCCACGTGACTCTCATGGGAGTTTCCTGGAGCGAACGTAAGGAAGAGGTCTAAGAAGGGAAAGTTTGATTGGGCTAATTCTAGAGGTGAGGTTGAAGATTTAGGGAATTGGAAACTGGAGAGGCTACGAGAATATGGCTGGTGAAAAAGGTAGAAGTTGGTTAGGAATGGGTCTAGATTTAAGAGTGGCCTAGAAAGACTGGGAAAGTCCCCGTGGGGGAATTTCCAGAAGCAGTTTTAGATGTTCGACATCAGAACATCCCAGAGTGAAGAAGAATCAAGGCTTTTCCCATACGGATCGTAGAAAGTACCATGTTCTAGCAAGCAAATTTTAAAAAGTACAATGAAATGATCTCCCTGGGCTATTGAATGAAATCACCCGTTTGAAAAATTGGCCAGTCTTGTCCTTTCTTCCGAATGCGAAACCAAGTCGACTTTTAAAAATGGGCATCAGCTTATCCACGCGACTTATTCCCTCTTAAATTGCTGAATTTGTGCATCTGGCTTCCGATTTTTATCAAACAGTGCTAGGGGCTGCCAACATGATCTGACTGGGTGTTCGTACAGGTCGGTCAGCTTTGGCTGGTCAGAAGCCAAAGGAACAAAGGTGCAAAACTGGTCTTGACTCTTGCTTGACATGCTGCGCCCCAGCCGATATCCAAACCCGCAAAATGAGCTGCTGCCAACCTTGGATCCTTGAGGCGAGCGTCAGGTTCCCTTTTATTCAGCTTTTGCGCGTTTGCCTCTGCTGTTTTACTTCCCGTTTATTCTTAGCAGGCAAGTGACCCTCCCAAACTGACTGTTGATGCTGTTTAATTTTTTTTTTTTTTTCAAAACACTGCCAATAGGGGTCAGCCCCGTGGCTTTGACGTGTGGGTTCATGGGTTCCGTTCCCAGGTGCGGATACACACCACTGGCCAGCCATTCTGTGGCAGCAGCCCACGTATAAGGTAGAGGAAGATTGTCACAGATGTTAGCTCAGGGCTATACTTTCTCAAGCAAAAGAAGAAAGAAGAGGGGAGCCAGCCTCTACACACAGTGTTAAGTGGCACAGTGGTTAAGTTCCCTCCACTTTGGCAGCCCGGGTTTCACCAGTTTGGAACCCCAGGCACTGACCTACACACCACTCAGCAAGCCATGCTGTGACAGGTGTCCCACATATAAAATAGAGGAAGATGGGCACAGACGTTAACTCAGGGGTAATCTTCCTCGGAAAAAAAAAAAAAAAAGAAGGGGATTGGCAACAGATGCTAGTTCAGGACTAGTCTTAGGAGGAAAAAAAACCCATTACCAATAGGTCAGTCATTTGTTGTAAAAGAAGGTTGTAAAAGAGAAAGACAGATACCCCTGTTGTGTACCATTGATGAACCATTATAAGAGAACTGTCCCCAAACACTGTTCTGGTAATAGCCACCACGTTTCTCTTTAAAGTTTTCTTGTTCACATTTTATCTGACTGCCTTAAGAAGATTTACCTGTGCTGTTGATAAATAAGTCCTTCTTACCTTAAACTAACTCAATCTTTGCTTTTCATCAGGTGTTAAGAGGAAATCATGTGAGTACAGGGATCAAAAGAAAGGAGGACATTTTTATTGAGCATTTGCTATTTTACATTTGTTGTTTTAATTAATCACAATTATCGTGTAGGTAAGTATTATGATCCCCATTTTATAGAAACTGAGTCACAGAAAGATTAAATAATTTACTCAAGATCACAGAACTAGTAAGTGTCTTATCTAGTATTATACTTAAGTCACTTCAAAAACCCAAGTTCTTTCTGCTATATCCACTTCCTTTGTGCACGCTTTTACCTAGACTGAAAATGCTGCCAATTCTTTTCTTTCTAGAGAAGGATGTTGTTACCACGCAACTGGCACGTTCTGCAAGCTACAAGACAAAAGCCAGTGGTCAAGGGGCAAGATGGTGGCAAAGAAAGGGCATTTTTTTTTTTTTTGAGGACGATTAGCACTGAGCCAACTACTGTCAATCCTCCTGTTTTTGCTAAGGAAGACTGGCCCTGAGCTAACATCCGTGCCCATCTTCTTCTACTTTATATGTGGGATGCCTGCCACAGCATGGCTTTTGCCAAGAGGTGCCATGTCCACACCCAGGATCCAAACCAGCAAACCCTGGGCCCCTGAGGAGCGGAATGTGCAAACTTAACCACTGTGCCACGGGGCTGGCCCAAGAAAGGGCGTTTTATTACAGCTTGCTAGCAAAGGGGAAGATGGCCGACTAACATCCAAAAGAACCATCTTAAGGAGGGCATAGAATCTTGAAGCAGTTATATAAGCCAGTGGGATATAGGGGAGGGGTTAGGAATGTTGACCCAGGAGTCGCCACACCAGATCTTTCAGTTTTCATTGCTGATGGCTATCAGCGTAAACTCTCTGTCCAGGGTCATCACATTCCTAAGGAACTCAAAAGAACAATGTTATCATCTTATAGCTGAGAGGTACATGCACAAGCAGAAATCATAAAATCTAAGGAGCAGTTAGATCTCCTGGAGGGTGCTTATCCAGCTGGGTTAGTTAGGCAGAGGTCATTCAGTTACAACATGGTCTCTTTTCTACAATATGGCTTCCCTTGTGTCAACCTTGTGTTCAGCCGGTATCAATGTCAAGCCAGCCACCAAAAGCCTTCTGATGTGAGGCTCTCATTGCAATCTCTAACTGGAAGAAACACATTGCTCTGAAGAAGCCATCATTTTTACATGCTGATAATAATACAGATTTCACTATTTTCAGAAATTACATTAAGGGTTTGTCTAGATGTGTCATTATTTGAGAAAATTCTCAAAAATGTTCATTATTCTTTTTGCCAGAACTATACTATGTGGGGAAAAAACCTGCCATATATGTATATTTACGTCACACTGTTTTTCTACTTAAAACCTTGTTATAATGCTGCTTTACAGAAGAAAGCAAAGGCAAAGGAAAGATTATAATTACAGGGCAGGACAAACCCTGAGTTTAAAACAACGGGCCTCATGTAAAGTGAACTACATGGTGCTCTGCTGGGTGTGTGCTGTACCTGGAACAAATCCAGCTCTGTCTTTTAGAAGCTCGTGTCTAGTTTAACTAATTTAAGCTAGTGAAAGCTACGTGTTTCTTTAGGCACTCATCTCTTCATGGTTTATCTCTGCTGGGAATTTTTCAAACAACTTTACTTCTGTCTCTCTACTTAACAGTTTCTAAAATGAATGTGCTGAGATGTATCCATTCAATAACAAATCTAAGTGTTGAGAGTGCATTTAAACAAATGTAAATATTGAGCATATGAAACGTAATAATACTAGTTACCAAACCATATTGAAATTTGTCATGGAACTGAAAGATTGAAAATCAGTTTGCTAACACTGGCTTCTATTAATTTCACAAACTAGAAGTGAAGCAATGTAAGGCTACTCTTTTTTTTTTTTTTTTTGGCTTTTACTAAACATGGGTAGTCAAAAAAACAAATTAGATCGTAAGACTTATAGAATGCTTAGAAAAGAGCATAGAAAATACTGAAAGTCCAATAAATGAGATTATAGTCCAATGCAGGAGGTAGATAGCAAATAAGCAAATAAAAAAAGTTAAATGATTAGAATGAATGCTACAAAGGAAATAAACAGGGAAATGTACCTGGAGAGAGAGAAGAGTGTGGCTACTGTAGAGTGGTCAGGAAAGCCTTCTTTAATAATGCAAGATTCGAATTAAAACCTGAAGAATTAGAAGGTCCTAGTTATCCAACTACAGATATCAAATGGGTGATGGGAACTCAGAGGAGAGTTCTGGCCTAGAGATGAAAATTTGAGCTTTATCGATACAGCTAGTATTTAAAGCCATAGGAAAGGATGAGATGACCAAAGAAAATGTAATAATAAGAGAAGAGGGTCCAGGACGAAGCCCTGAGAAACTTCCAAGTATAGAGATTAGGTCTCTAAAAACGAGACTGAGTGAGGAAGGGGAAAACTTGGAGAATGTAGTGTCGTGAAAGCCAAGAAAAGAGGTACTTTAAGAAAGAAAAATAGTTAACTACCTCACGTGTTACTGAGAGAACAAATAATATGAGGACAGAGAAGTGCTCATTGAATGGACACCAGAGGGATCGGCGTTGACTTTGTAGAAGGCAGTTCAGTGAAGGAGAGGGGACAGATTGGAATAGTTCAAGACTAAGTTGGAGATGGAAAAAGTGAAGACAGGTATTTGAGAAATTTTATTGTAAAGAGCAGCAGGAAAATGTAACTCTAGGAGAAGTGAGGTCAGAGAGTATTTTGTTTTTTCGTGTCTTTCACTTTTATATCTTTTTTGTATTTTTTAATGAGAGATGGAAAGAATGTATACTAATGGGAATGATCCAATAAGAGAGGGAAATCTTAATGATGCAGGAAGGAGGAAAAAAGATGACGGAGGAGCAAACTCCTTGTGGTAGTGGAAGGAACAGAATCTCAAGTACAAGGGTGAGAGTGTCTTTGATAGAAGCGAGGGCAGTTCTCCATGCTATTAAGAGGGAAGACGAAAATGGCTGCATGTACAGATAGGCTTGTAGATTTCAAGGGACAACTATGAGGCACTTCCTCTTTGATTGTTCCTATTTTCTCAATGAAATTGGAGGCAAAGTCATCAGCTAAGCGTGAGGCAAGGGAGAGAGTGTGGGAGGTTTGAAAAAAGAGAAAATAGGGAAGAGACAGACGCCTTGAAGAGTGTGAAAGCAAAGGAGATGCGTAGTGAGGATTGCCAGGTCGTGCTGGAAAGCTACCTGGGGTTTGTGGTCATGGATTTTAAGTAAAGCCATCCAGCCTACATATGCCAATTTCTCCAGAAGAGATGAACAGTTAGGTTTTATCAGGGAGTGACTTTTTCTTTTTCCCACAAGAGTAATGACAGAGAGAGAAGAGTAAGGGAATTATGGGTGTTTGCAAGAGAATGATTATAATTGTCGATGAAAATAATCCATAACCAATCCATAAATGAAAATTTGGATGAGTTTATTCTGAGCCAAAATATGAGGACCATAGCCTGGGGCTTGCCTTCCCCAAGGAAGGAAGGACACCAAGGAAGTGAGATGTCCAGAGTGGTTATATACCCTCAAAGAGGATGTTTCACATGTGATTGAAATGTCCCTTTTACAATAGTCATGAGACTGCTCTGTCGGCACAGCAATTGATGGACACAGCAGGTCGTAGGTTTGCTGTCTCGGTGGACACAGCAGGGTGGCTCGTCTGTTGTCTCTAGCTGGGTGATCACAGGTGAGCTGGGTGGTCACAGGTGGGTGCAGCAATCAGTTCCTAGCCTAGGGAAAGATGCTTATCCTTAAGGAAATGCCAGTGTGGATGGAAGTTGCATCTTTATCTTAAGGGCATTTGTTCTTGCCATAGGAAATGTTTAAATCGTATAAACAATGCATACTCAATGGCCACATGAGGCCCTTTTGGAAAAGCAAAGTCAGCTTGAATTAGTTGTACACCAGATGGCTTCCTCATATACTGCAATATATCCTATCGTTCCTATTTCTCTTTGTCCTAATGAAAGATGGTGGAATTGAAGCTGGGTGTGGAGGGAAGTTAAAGGAAATGCTGCGTATGTGTGAGTGTGGATGGGGTTAACGGATTGACAACGGTGGAGGCTGCAAAGAAAACAGTGACAAAAGAACCAACACTTCAGTGAATTAAAGTGGACTGACTAGGACATCAGAAGGTGGTTTCTGGAGAGCTTCAGGAGCTGGTGGTATAGACAGAAGAAATGAGTCCAAAGGAGCCAAGGCTTTTGAAAGAGGTTGGAAGAGAAATGGTTTGGAAGTCACAGTGGAAAGCAAGAAACACACATCTCTAAAGTTAGACTATATAAAGTCAAATTCTAGTTGTAACCTTTCCTAGCTTTTTGAACTTCACATCTTTTTGTTCTTAAAAATTGTGATAATAATAGTACCTTTTCGTAGAGTTTTGTGAATAGTAAATGAGGTAAGTCAAATAAAATCAGCACAGTGTTCATAGTATATACTCCATAAGCCTCAGCTATTACTAAATCATTTTTGCAACAGTAAACACAATCGTCTAAATGGCTTTGCAACTTGCATAAATAGTGCTTAAACAGCCCTGTCTTTGCCTTAACACCGATGAGAAACCAGCGCACCTGACATGTCTTACCCCAGGATTATGAAGCCTGCCAGGACAATGAACTTTAAAGATTAAAAAGAAAAGGGAAAAGTCAAATCACTGCAATGTACACTTTAAATATCTTACAATTTTATTTGTCAGTTATACCTCAGTAAAACAAAAAAAAAGAAGAAAAAAGGAAGAGGGTTCTTAGCTATTGTAACCAATAATGACAGAGGTTTGTAAATTTCGTCTCTAATTCTGCTCTTGCTTTGATCTGTCCAGCAGAATAACCATACTCAAGATTCTTTGGGGGAACTAATGCATACCTGATGAGAAAGCTAACCCTATGTCATCTAGCTGGCCTTAATTCTTTACTTCCTGACCTATATTTCTAAGTATAGGCTGTGTGACGTCTGTGATGATATATTCCACATATATTTCAAACCTAAAATGTTCAAAGCTGAACTTAATATTGGTCTCCAATCCCATCTACTTCTTTTTCTATTTTTATTTTTTCAGTGAATGATGCTAAAGGGGATCAGGGTACATCAAAATACACCACTTCGTCATGAGGATTATTTTGAGCTGAAGACAATTGAGAATCAACAGATACAGGAAGAGTCCTCTAGAACTTCCCTTATCTGCCTAAAAGCAGGGCATGAATTTCCGTTTGTGAAGCCATCCACCCCCATATCAAGAAGAGGAGACTGATCCTATCACCAGAGATGGAGAGTCAACACCCAGCTGGGTTTGTATAAACAGACCTTGCTAGAAGAACCCTTATCTTCCATCAGTTCCCCCTTATATTTCCTAGTCACTTCCCACGATTTGTCATTCCTTGAAACCCAAGCTCCCTTTCCTTTGCTAAAATGGTATCTAAGCCCCTGAGTTTTAACTGCTTCTTTGTGTTTCTTTTCTGTGAACTCCTATGCGTGTAAATATTAATAAAGTTTGTATACCTTTTCTCCTGTTGATGTCTTTTGTTAGTTTAATTCACACACTCCCAAATAAAGAACATAAGAGGCTAGGAGCCGGCCCGGCAGCATAGCGATTAAGTTCATGCACTCTGCTTTGGTGGCCCAGGGTTCACCAGTTCAGATCTTGGGAACAGACCTACACACTGTTTATGAAGCCATGCTGTGGCAGGCATCCCACTATAAAGTAAAGGAAGATGGGCACGGATGTTACCTCAGGACCAGTCTTGCTCAGCAAAAAAGAGGAGGATTGGAGGCAGATGTTAGCTCAGGGCTAATCTTCCACAAAAAAAAAAAAAAAAAGTGAGAAAAATAAAAAAGAACATAAGAGGGTAGAGGAAAAGTTTTTCCTCCCCAATAGTTCCAAAGTCCCCACTCATCATTCCTTATCAAAATGCAATTGGTATGTTTTAAAAAGATCTTGACTGGGTCCTCCTTTGTATCTCCACTGCCACAGCCTTAGTTCAGGCTCACATCAACACAAACCCACACTATTGGAAGCCACCTCTTGGTTATCCTCCCTAATTGCTTCTAATTTTGCTCCCTACTGACCTTAGAGAGTATTGTTTCAAACAGAAATCTAATCCTTCACCTCCCCTTGGAAAAAACCCTCAATGGCAATAGTCTCCAAACTTCTTTGATCGTATAATTCTGTGGGGAGGAAAGGAGGGCATACACTCCCCATCCGTGTATATTTGCTTAGATATAAACTGTGTGCTACGTAATACTACACAATTGTATACATTATAGCACACACCTCAAAATAGAAAAGATAAGAAAAAACAAAAATAGAAGTTCTAATATTTTTGCCTTAATGGATCATCTTTCATACTCCTTTGTGCCAACCCACTTTGGAAGCCACTGACTTACAGGGTAAAATTTAGAGTCCTTAGCAAGAGCCCTTAATATTATATAGCTCTTGCCTATACAGCTAGTCTCATTTCCTGCTCCTTCCCACAGGTCTAAGCTCTAGCCTTAATAAATAACCTGCATGTACTGGACGTCCTCTTCCCTTAGTGCACATATTATGCCTTTGCCTAGAAGGCCCTTTCTCCCATGAGCGTTTCCAGACTAGTAGCTCAAGCATTATTCCTTGGGAAGTCATTCTTTATCACCACCTCCCCACATATGTCAAATTAGGCTTCAATACCTGGGTTCCCATAGCAGCCTCTGAACGTCTCTATTATAACATTCATTATGCTGAAATAATTTGTTTATATTTGTTTTCCCATTAAGACTGTGAGCTCCTTGAAGCTATGATTTGTAGCTTATTAATCTTTGTGTCCTGGGGCCATGGAAGGCACTTAATAACATTTTGATAGAAGGACCTAATAAGTGAATGAATGTGAAGGGGATTAGAATATGCCACCCCAGGAGCCAGCCCAATGGCAGAGTGGTTAAGTTCACACATTCCACTTTGGTGGCCCGGGGTTCGTGGGCTGGGATCCTGGGTGTGGACCTACACATTGCTCATCAAACCATGCTGTGGTGGCGTCCCACATACAAAATAGAGGAAGATTGGCACAGATGTTAGCTCAGTGACAATCTTCCTAAAGCAAAAAGAGGAGGATTGGCAACAGATGTTAGCTCAGGGCCAATCTTCCTCACCAAAGAAAGAAAAGGAAAAGAATATGCCACCCCAAAATATGCTACTTTAGCATATAGATTATTTTGGACTGAAGGCAATTGAGAATCAACAAATGCAGAAAGAAACCTACCTGGAGTTCCGTTTACCTGACTAAAAGCAGAAGCTTCTGAGAAATGAGGACTGCCATAAATTTCCTCTCTGGGAGATTTATCCATGAAGATGGGAAGTCAACACCAGATGAGTCTGCACAAACCTTACTAAAATAACTCTTATGTTCCATTAGTTTCCTATATATTTACCTTGCCACAATTTACTGCCCCTAGAAACCCAAACCCCTTTTTCTTTCATCTAGTCACTTCTCCGTAATTTATTACCCTTTGTTAAAATGGTATATAAACTTCTGACTCTGTTTCTTTGACTTTCCACTTCCTTTCTGTGTAGCCCCAGCGCATGTAAAATTAAAAACATCAATAAAATTTGTCAGTTTAATTCACACACCTTAGGAAAAGAACCTAAGAGGGTAGAGGAAAACTTTTCCTCCTCTACAAAAGCTTTCTTGGAAGAGGGAGAGAAACTTGTGTACTGATGCAGGAATGTAGGATTAAACTAGAGTGAAAAGAACACAATATTTTAAAGGAAACAATCATAGACTGGAGTTTCATTTTTATTTACCAAGCAATACACCAATTCTTAACAGTCCAAATATAGGATTCCATATCCCTTTTTGTGATTTCCATTAAAGCTAATTCAAGTTTCTAACACTGAGTAGTTGAATGGATGAAGGAGAGAAATAAACAGATGCTTCTTTCTTGGTGTGTGTCAGGCATTAATTCACCCAATGACTGTTTGGTAGATACTGTTTTCCTTGTTTATATAGATGGGGAGAATAGGGTAGTTAAATGATGTGCCCAGGATGACATAGCTACTAAATAGAATCTCCACTCAGGACTGTCTGATTCCAAAGTTCCTGCTCTTATGTAATATTTCCTCCCAATCTAGGATGTTTCCCCCACATATTACAACTGAATACCACACACATGATAACGCAAATATCCCCTTTTACACACTCAGAATATCGAATAAGAAAAGACATGATTTTATAATCTAGTTCTAACAAGATCGGCCGATATGCATAATAAACCAAGAATGTCTGCCTGGGTCAGAACAGTGTCTTGCTAAATCTGTACCCAGGATAGCTCAAATCAAAGACCTGGTGTCTGGTCTGAGAGCTCGGCTGCTATCTGTGTAACACAGCGAAACTAGGGCAAGTCATTTGTAACCTGTCTGTGACTCAGATGCCTCCATTTTCAAAATGAGTAGATTAGACTTTATGATCCCTAACTTCATTATTGTAATTTGATTTTTGGCAACACACCTTGTCACAGCTTCCAAGTTTTAAGAATCCAAGTGAAAAGTGGTTGCCTTCATAACCTAGAATGATATTGTCACACTGAGAAATATAGCTGGAAAAAGAGTCATTATCCAGAGAGTCTGACGTCACTTCACTTCTTGTATCAGCTGCTAAAGATAAGGAATGGGTGCTCTTCCTAGCTTATTTTTCTTCGGGAAGGTTCCGCACTGCAGACATGATAATGTATACATTGTACGTCCCTAAATTTTCCCCGTGGAAGCTGTAGAGATAGCCATTTCATTGTGTTTCACCTCCTTTCTCCCGACTTATTGAAGGACTCATCTAAACAGGGATACTACTTTGAATTAATCTTTTCATACCCAACATTCGACATCAGATTAATAATTATAATAATAAGCTAACAACAGTAGCTATCATCTTTTGGGTACTTACTACGTGGTAAGTCCTTTACATCTGTTCCCTTTATTTTAAAACAGCTCAATGATAATAGCAGCTACCGTTCATTCTTTACTATGCGTCAGATATCATCCTACACTTTTTACGTGCATTAATGATTTAATCCTCCAATAACCCAATGTGCTAGGTATTATTAAGTCCATTTTGCTAATGGGAAAAATGAGGGACAGAGAAATTAGGGAACCTACCCACGATCCCAGGTGGTAAGTGTCAGGTAGTTGAGATGAGAAGTGACCTAGCCATGACCCTGTGCTAGCTTTCTCTAAGATAGGCATAACTATCTCCATTACACAGGTAGAAACTGAGATGTGATCCAATGTGAGATGTGACCACTGTTAGCTATGTGTCACATAATTAATAATTAGCAAAGATAAAATCTGAACCCAGATGTCTCCCTCCAAAAACCCTGTTTCCTCAAAATTTTCTATCTTTATCTCAGTTTCGTTTGCTGGGAACTCCTTCTCATCTCAATCTTTAAACTTTGAGCTCCCTAGGATTACAAGGATTCATACCCAAGATCTTGATAACATCTATACATTGAAAACTGTCAAATTTATTTTTCCATCCTCTGCCTTTCTTCTGAACTCCAGACAGGTGTCTCCAACTGCCTAGTTGACAGATCTACTTAATATCACAGATATAACTCAAATGTCCCAAATAAACTTTCCGTGCCACGTTCCACTGTTCCTCATCTCAGTCAATGAGCTCAACATCCACTCAGTTGCTCCAGAAGCAAAGCAAGGAAGGGAGCAGATCCCATATCTTGAGGACTTTTTCCAAAAGAGCCACATTTACAGGACTTTTTAAAGACAATATGTTGACATTATAGTTGTTATGACTATGATGAAATGATGAAAGGGGAAGCGAAGTGAAAGCAAGACCACGAGACAAGTAGAGAAGATGTTCAAAAAAGGTGGTACTTTAGGGGCTGGCCAGGTGGTGCAGCAGTTAAGTTCACATGCTCCGCTTTGGTGGCCCGGGTTCCTGGTTCGGATCCTGGGTGCGCACCTATGTACCACTTGTCAAGCCATACGGTGGCAGGCGTCCCACATATAAAGTAGAGGAAGATGGGCATGGGTGTTAGCTCAGGGCCAGTCTTCCTCAGCAAAAAAAAAACTTTTAAAAAAAGGAGGATTGGCAGCAGACGTTAGCTCAGGGCTAATCTTTCTCAAGGAAATTTTTTAAAAAAGATGGTACTTTTGGGGCCAGCCTCATGGCCGAGTGGTTAAGTTCATGCGTTCTGCTGCGGCGGCCCAGGGTTTTGCCAGTTCAGATCCTGGGCACAGATATGGCACCGCTCATCAAGCCATGCTGAGGTGGCGTCCACATGCCACAACTAGAAGGACCCACATCTAAAAAATATACAACTATGTACCAGGGAGCTTGGGGAGAAAAAGGAAAAATCAAATCTTTAAAAATATGCTCCCTCCTTTACTAGGCAGTGGGATAAGACAAGGAGCTTGTGAGAACTTGATTTTGGAGTTGTTTATCCTTGACACCTCTTCTTGCTTGCCTAACTCCGACTTCATTTGAAGGTTTCAGTTTCCATAATCTTCCAGCCTAGATAACATTT